AGCTGGATGACACGAAAACCATCTTTTGATGTGGGGGCGGTTCTCAGACCTTAATTAAATCAACATGAAAATATCAGACTGAGCCCCGAATACGAGACTGAACCTTTACGAGATCGTACTATATTTGGACACAAGATTGCATTTTGCATCAACCGCGACCGAACTGGAACGCGAACCTGCGAGAAGAGACCTACATTGGAGTAGGATAAAAGACGGTACCCTCTTAAGATTGGGCATGTCTTCATTGATATTGCATCCACAGTTAAATAGTGTTACAGGTCGATGCGCCCTGTCCGTCTGGACTAATTGCACATGTATCTGCATTTATGCTGCACCAGATAATACAGGACATTTTGCAATTTTAAAAATCCACCTACAGCTTCTCCTATCTGAATCATTGTAGAAAGTGCATGTTCAATCCCCATTGACCTGGTGGATGCTGAGGACCGCTCGTCTCCTCTCTCCTTCCCAATTGGCCGCAGGGCTCGCCGCAAAAATCAAATGTTTGGTGCCTACGAGGAGGCCCTTTCCGTCAGCATCCGCTATCTGCGCCAGGCGCCTACGAGTCAACAATATCCTGCTCATTCCCTCCCTCCCATCCTCGTCTCCGCCATCACTGATTGCGACGTCTTGAGAGAAATGCTTGCTCTCCATGGCGGCTTCGTGTTGCGTGTATTTACAAACTGATGTAGATATAGATCTGGATACACCATGAAAGTCGCATGAGGAAATACGATATGCAAATGACGTAGAAACCGTCGACTACAATACGTAGCCAATTTGTACACTCTAAAGATTGGATAGGGATGCTAGCCTACAGAGTCCTCCCATTGTCACGCATGTCAGAAAAGTATTGCTTTTAAGGCACGTCTGGAGAGTGAACTGTCTTGCACACACACCTATGTCACACAAGGTCCTAGGATTCAGTAGCCTTCGATGTTTTCATTGATCCTTGATGGCGGACTGGAGTGAGAGTTTGAGACGTCGCAGTAGTACCATGCTAGATCTGGGTCTTTTCTCCTGCAAATATCTTACCTAACTTTCAGGTACTTACACATCTCACGCCTGTAGATAAGGATAAAACAGACAGTCAATCTGTCGGCGGTATTCTCCAAAATGACAGCCCGCAGAGAACCCTGTCCCGATAATGACAGGCAGTGATGCACTACCTGGACTTCCTGCGAAAATTGCAGCAAAGGTCCCTTTTTCTGAATGATGGAAATCAGATCAGCGCCGTACATCAGTATGAATGTAATCTTAGAGCACTTTATGCAAAAGGAGGATTTCGCCCTGCCGTCGCTCACGATCATTAATTTCTGAATGCATGCTTGCGGAGATAATGCTGCATGAGGGTACTGTGTGACGGATACACGACAAAGCCTTCGTACTGTGTGCACACTGGTGTAAACTATGCATGGCAAAGGTGTCTGACGTCTGTTGACAACGTATTTCTCTCCGCCCCCATCTTCCATCCCTTCCTGCCTGCAGGTTTACCGCGATGGACTCTCATTCGTCGGACTGCGTTTTCAGCATTCCACCCTCAGCCCGCGACTGGAGTGATCCCGAGGACCTGCTGTAGGATGCCAGACATGACGTGAATTTGATACAGCAGTTGGGCCAATTGCCCATCTCCTGCGTCGGCTGGTCAGAGGAGACGACCAGGCAGCATCAGACTTGCATTTCGACGGTCAGCCGCATTTTCATTGGCCAGTTCTGCTGGTGGCGCATTCGGCTATTTGTCCTCTGACACCAACCTCGTGTCCCCTGACATTGCGAATTAATGATCTGTGTCTGTACTCCTCATACACTGTTTCTGTTAATGCTGACAAGTACTAAAATAAAAAGCGCGATAAATGCACCGAAAGATGTGCTATTTTTTTCCAAATATTGGGATGTGTCATCTGGTTGAAACGGTTGTTTATGTGGACTTGGAAGAGGCGATGGCAGAATGCGCATTCTGCCAAGTTATCTCATTGGCTGTGGCCTGCT